TTATTATTTGGAAATAACTTACTAATATCGTGGATTCCATTCCGCGAATTAAAATATGGAACCAAAATTGGAAAAGGTGGGTTTTCAACTGTGTATTTTGCTACGTGGACACGTCACAATGAAATTGGTGTGCAACATAGAAATGTTGCGCTTAAGTTACTTCATGGATCAAAAAACAGTTACAAGGAACTTATTAAAGAGGTAAATACATACCGGGAATTACTTTAATTTATTCATTATTATTATTATATTATATTAATAATTATAATTATAGTTAATTGCATATTCGAATATTGGAAGTAAAAATGCCACATTTTTGCAATGTTATGGAATATCAAAAGATGAAGAAACGGGAGATTATATTTTGGTTATGCAATATGCGCCAATGGGATCTTTACGTAAGAATCTTTATAAAGTTGCACAAATGAAATGGGTGAAAAAATTGGAGTTGTTATCTTATATTGCATTTGATCTTCAATTAATTCATTCGAATGATATTATTCATTGTGATTTACATAGTGGTAATGTATTTCAAAATGATTTATATAATGCTTATATTGGTGATTTAGGATTCGCAACAGCAGTTAATAAAACATTAGACACAGAGTCTAGGGGAATTTATGGAGCTTTGCCATATATGGCTCCAGAAGTTTTGCAAGGAAATTCATTTACCAAAGCTTCAGATATTTATTCTTTTGGAATGATTATGTGGGAGATTTCTTCAGGGAATATTGTATTTTCTGAATATAATGACAAGTTAAAATTAGCATTTGAAATCTGCAATGGTATGAGACCAACTATTATTAAAGGCACAACATCATGCTATTCAAATCTTTTAAAAAAATGTTGGGATGAAAACTCAGAAAAACGACCATCAGCTCTAGAAATTCACCAAACTATTTTAAATTGGAAAAATAATGCTGAAATTTTGGCTGAATTTTTAAAATCAGATGAAGAAATGGAGATTGAAAATAATAATAACTTTAATAGTTTAGATGATAATACAATTTATACTAGCAAGTTTGTTAATTATATTGATCGAAAATCCACGAATACATCCGAAATCGCTTCTAAAAAGCTTTGTTTTGATATTGAATAGGTTGTAGCAATGTAATAACTGTCCTATAATATATACAGTTTGGGATCTATCAATTGGCAAAGTTTCAACCAAATTATGAATCGAATATACAAAGCTAAGTTTAGTTATCACGTAGAAGACGATATTTGAAATGATGCTTTTTTCAAAATTTTAGTTGAACTTCGACTGACGCTAATTGAAAATAAGTAACAAATCCACTTTAAATGATTCTCCAATCGTTAGAAGAAGATAATTCTACCAAATTTATAGGGTATTACTAGTAATTTAAAAATTGAATAAGAATAAAATGTAATAATGTCTCAATTTCTACTTTATACATGTTGCTGTTAATTTCTGTTATTTTTGGATTTTTATATGTTTGAATTATCAGAGCGAACTAAGGGCTTGACCCGGATAAAGGCTACCGGGTAACCCACGGATACAACGGATATCCGGTTACAGCTGTTTCATAAATCCTGGAACAACTTAAAAAATTGCCGATGACCAAATCGATAAGTAACCGAGTCGGTATGTAACCGACTTCAATCAAATTCAGAAACTTATCGATTCGGTCATCGGCATTTTTTCAGTTGTTCCAGAATTTATGAAAACAGCTGTAAGATATTTGTTACCCGGGTAAACCTATCTGGGTAGATTAACCAGGTAATTACCCGAACAACAAACCATGGACAAAAGAACAAAGGAAATTGTACCTTTTCAATATAAAATAACATGAACCAAGTAGAAATAACTTTTAGATATCTTTGAAAATAAAATTATAATTAATTGTATAAATTGTTATACATTATCCGTGATCTTAATTGTTTACCCGGGTAATCCGGATAACCAGGATATACCCGGATAACCAAGAAGTCTAACCGACGGTTAACCCGGGTAAGGTTTTTTTGAACTCGTCAAAAATTTAAGAGTGTAGCTTTTTCCTCTTCTGTAAACTTCGAAAATATCTTTGAAAATCGTCTTCCTTTGACAATTACCTTATTTATAAATCCGTAAAGAAGTTTAAGTGCAACAGTTGAAGTATATTTTAGATTTGGATTATGCCATTTAGCAGAATATACAGTTGCAAATCTACCTTATCCTGTCTGTTCAATATCCTCAAATCCTTTGTAAAAGATCCATCAACTGATATCTATTTACAATCAACATTTGTTTTTTTTTTTAATACTATTCTCAACATTTGAGTCTTAATAAATCAATTAATAATTTCGTTATTTATGGTTAAATTATCTTATTAAATTAATGAAAGTACAGAAGTAGAGATTATCTGATATATTTTTCTTATTAAATTAATGAAAGAACAGAAGTAGAGATTATCTGATATATTTTTCTTCCTAATTATAATTTAAACGTATGATTTTAAGTAGATATATAAATAAAGGTTAAGAAAATTCTATTTTGATAACAATAACCAACTTGAGACATTGCAAACATCTCCCAGCCCAACTGGATCACTCATTTCAGTCGATTTTTAATAAAGAATGAATGCCTTATGTTCATCTTTTCCAACACAGATCCCATTTGATAACGATATTCGAGGTTGTTCATTTTTTTAACGTTTTCCATCTCTGCAGATATTTGAAGTCTATTTTTTTCAATCAAATTGCTTTATAACAATAACCAACATTATACATTTCATCTTCATTCCCCATTTCTGCAGACTTCTGAAAATAACGAATGCCTTATTTTTATCCCAATTCCATATAAATGTCAACGGCCGAGGTTAAAGAATTCCACTATCATTATTCAATTTCACAGATTTTTGATAATTAATAAACGCTTGATGTTTTCCAACTCAAACTCCCCTTTTATAACAATAACCAACATTAAACATCCATCAGAACTTCACATTTCAATACCTTGCTTCGTCTTTTTCAACCCAATTCTACCAAGGTAACAGTTGACAAGATATATATTCCATTTCAGCGGATTTTTGATAATAAATAAATACCTTATATTTATCCTTTTCAACTTCAATACCATCAGATAACAATTACTAAGTGTATTACAAATGCTCCTCTAGAATCATCATTTTGGCAGATTTTTTAATAAAAAAAATGTGTGTTTTATTTTCATCCTTTTCAACCCCGTTTCCATAAAAATAACAAATTCCAAGATAATATATTCTTTAATATATCCATCTCAGCAGATTTTTGATAATGAATGAATACTTGGATATCTTATTTCAACCCAATTTACCAAACGAGAACAGCTTGCAAGAACGCTTTGAATTATTGTAGTTTGCAAAATTATGTAGATCAAAAATATGTTGTAGGTGGAAACGGAATTTAAGTGGATTTGGAATTTTATATAAAAAAACCCATTTCGTCATATACACACCCTAACCCTAACCTTAATTTAACTATAAAATTCCAAATCCACTTAAATTCCGTTTCCACTTACAACATATATATATATATATATTTTTGCAGAAAGAGAAGTTGTAGATTCATTATTTTGTAACATATTGATTTAGTATCTTTGTAGGAAAATAATTTGCATATTCATTATGTTGTAAAGAATTGATGTGTATTATTAAATTTTGTTTATTTTTTAGCCCGATAAAAATTTACTATTGCATGAACAAGAAGAAAATTTGAATGCTGCACCAAATTCAATATTATAAGAATTATTACATGATTCTAGAGAATTAATTTGTTTATTACTGAAAAAATCATGAAATTTCGAAGTAAAAGCATAAGGAACTTTTAGTATGATTTTTTTTGATGGAAGTATATCTTTTCATTCTTCATAGTTACAATAAGTTTTAGAAGAAGACACTTTGTGCATCCAAAGCATGTTCCGACCATTCGAAAAGATTTTTTAAAAAATGTATACTAAATAAATAGATATCATTTATATATATTAAACGTATAAGTCTTTTATATAGTATAATATTAGTTGATATACATACGTCATCAGAAAAGAAATCAAAAATCATCGATTTCTTTTTCTTATTTTATTTTTTTTTTTTACATAATTTTGCAAATCGCAATAAATGATTTATTTGATCATTCAAGCATCAACTTATAATATTATCCGGTCTTTGATTCTTTTTGGTCAAAAATTTATCTATTTTGTCAAGAGTAGATTTTATACCTTTGACTTTCGTTCTTTCTTCATTATACAGATTACATAATTCTTTAACGATTTCACTAAGAAAGTTTGAGACCTATTATCTTTTATATACAGTCGGTTAAATTTTTACAGTGGAGTGATTCGTAATTAACATATTTCGAATATAAGTAAAATAAGTGGGTACAAAATGACCTAGGAGATTAAATGAGTAACTTTTTTTTTGATTATGTATTTTATTGTTTTCATATGATACATATGATACTATTGTAATAAATTAAGAACTACAAATTGTCATTTAAAAAATTTTACATATTTATTTTCGAATTATTGATATTTAATATGCCTCCCAAAAAAAACTTTTAAACAGACCACTAAAGAAGAGAACTTGAGAAAATCATAAAGCTTGATAGTTTTTCACGAATAGTAAGATATCGATCTAATTAAATTGTTTGCAATAGTTCAAATAGTTCCGACAGTTTATCGCTTTCTTTGATTATATTATTGTTATGCGGACTGCATCAAAAGGATCGTTACGACAAAATCTTGTACAAGTATCACAATTGGAATGGAAAGATAAACTGAATATTATTTTGTTCTATATAGCTTTGGATCTTGAATCAATTTATTCGAAGGAACTCGTTCACAGAGATTTACACAGCTTGCAAAGCCTTTTAAATAACGCACATATCACCGATTTTAGACTTCTAAAAAAGTAAAGGAAGGAAAATTCTGCCATATATAGTACCTGAGGTTTTGGTGGGTCAATTACAGTCTTGGAGTTATTGCGACAGAGATTTCGACAGGACAAAGAGCATTTGATGGAATTTCGTTTAATGGTGATATCTTGTATCAAGAATTATTAATGGATCAAGACCTAAATGTTTAGGATCAGATTGTTATTAAATTAGCTATGAAATGTATGGATAAAGATTTTTATAAACAATCTATTGCAACTGAAATTATTGAAATAATCACTCGTTGGTTAGATGAAATAGATCATGAGGATGATGAAGTCAAAAAACAAATTTTAGAAGCTAATATGATTAAACCAAAACCGATTAAGCAAATGCATTTTCAGGACTTAAATACTAGCAAAATATATGATACCAATAAATTTTCAGAACATACTAGGTTAATGCACAGCGTTGTATATCCGGAGCCTATAATTATCGAATATAGCATGCATCAAAAACGTAACTTTAATCACGTGTGCGGACAGACATTCTTTCCAAAGTTATGTTCTTGATATTTATCATTATGATGCATCAACGTCGTAACCTTTGATGCACTTTACACGTCTATTAGGTGTCATCCGCTACATTCCGGATACCGATCGGTATATAGAAATCTTAAATTTAGATTTGAATCAAATTATATAAGTGTTTATGTAACATGCACTTAGGAAGATGCAGCTATAGAAATTTTTTCTTTGTTATTAAAAATTTCTAAAATGTCTAGTTCCATTATATATATTACAGAATAAAATATTTATCTTCACTCAACTATAAACTTAAGATAAATATTCTTGATATTTTTGTTAGTGGATTGTTCTTTTGGAGTAAGAGCCCTTTAAATTATCTTTTTCTTGCATCGAAATTCAGTCTCAAACATTCTTTAAAATCTATGCTTCTAATTATATAGAGAACGGTGTTTAAAAAATAAATATTTAAAAGACAATGACTGTGCACAGGATTTTGAGTTACGAGTTAACAACTCGAAATCCAATTTTCTGAAATACCAATTAACCTAAGCCACAATACTGACATTATTTTGATATCTCATCGAAAATATCATTAATCGCGCTTTTCAATTTACTAAATTTTGAGGAAATCTAATAAGTATACCCTGTAAATAAAAATTTTTTGAACCTTTGAACGAAAATATCTTGCAACAACCTAATCAAATTCGATGAACATTTTTTATTT